GCAAAGTTATTTTTTGATGTAACAGTCTATAAAATTGTTCCTGTTGCTGATTTGGTGCATAAAGTCCCACTATAAGTATTTTCTTACCATACAGACCAAGTTCAATCATCACATATCTTCCTTGGGGATCTGATTCTACCAGAGAAGCTGCTAGATTTTGCTTCACGTAGATAACCACTCCCCCCTTTTTCCCAGGAGCAGAGGATACAAAATGAGATCCCAGACGGGCATTGACTAAGTATTTCTGATCTTTAAGTAAAATATGAGTTTCCTGTAGACAAATAACATCATTATTATGTTGCTTCAAATAGTAAAAAATTTTCTTTCTTTTCTGTGGGGAGTTCAATCCGTTAACATTCCAGGTCAGGAACTTTGCCATCTCTCTTGGCCTTGAGCCTGGAGAAGACTCCCTGAAGGTCTGCCATTCCTGCCTGGATTGCAGAACTCTTAGGTCTTGCTCCTCCCACGGCAATGAATCACTTTCGAAGAAGATTCTTTAACTTCTCTTTTACGTTGCTCCTTCTCCTTACGTCTATAAGCTGCACGGGTCATTCTCTGATCTTTAACCTCCATTTGACGTTGCCATTCAACTTGCGGCATCCCTGCAGAAACCAAACCTGATGCTTCAGATTGCTCCAACTCTTTGCCACTCAGAGGTTTCTGAGCAGGTGGAACTGAGCCTGCACCCAGGACCGTGTTGTAAAACTCCTTGGCTTTTTCAACCGTATTCAACCTATAACGCATCCCCGCATGACTCAGAACAATACCTGTTGGGATCTCCCATCTAAATGGCATCAATCTAGCTTTGAGCTCATTAGTTAAAAAAGCAAAATCTTTCCTGCTTCTTAAAATTTTTGATGGGATTTCCTTTAAAATAATAATATCTTGGGCAGCAATCTGGAATCTCTTATTATAAAAACCTTGTATGATTTCATTACGCAGAGACTTCTTTGTAAAATAAATCACCACATCTCTAGGCAAGTTCTTCTGCTTGGCAATCCAAGAGTTAACTCTATAGATTTTTTCCACTTCTCTGCGTAATTCTCCTTTATCCATATTCAAAGCAATAGCCAAATCAGTAAGCACTACCTCCATCAAGTCTTGATTCATATCTTCCTTAAGGCCTCTGATCCTCAGAGCATGCTCCATCTGCCTATACTGGAACATAAGGATGTCATCTTGTGAGGTCTCTATCTTCCTTTCCATATCTTGGAATTTCTCCTCAAAAAAATCAACTTTGTCTGCTACTTCCTCCACTCTCGAATCCAGCTTCACCACCACCATGGCCAAGCCTGATACAGCTGCAATTATGTCTTCCCGCAGAATAGTATTGTTATCCTCCATTGAGACCTTCATCCCACTTATCTCTTCCTTAATTTCAGATTTAATCTGTATGGCAAGTTGCTTCATTTCATCTCTGATTTGAGATACAACATCTCCCATTATGCCTTTAATCTCTTGTACTGACGGACCTGGCAGAGGAGGAGAGGGTGGTGGCTGGGTCGGTGGTACATGTTTAAGTTGTTGTTGTGGTTGTGCAGTTGAAGCTATAGGAGAGGAGACCACCTTAGATATTGTAGAAGGTGGCTGTCTCTTTGAAGCCATTTTATATGACACAGTTCTCTCTTCCCTTCTTCCCCCCCAAAAAAGGGGAGGAGGGAAATAGAATTTAAAAAAAAAAAAGACAAAAACACTATAATCCTTAAGAATCCAAAGAAAAAAAGAGAAAAAAATCCAAAACCAGAAGCAAAAAAGTCAAATGCAATCATTTAAGTCCAGAACTTTAAAAGCAAAAGAACAAAAGAGAAAGGGAAAAAAAAACTCCGGCACTTTTAAAACGCCATCTTTTTTCCTCTCTCCATACCAGCAAGAAAAAGAACAAAGGAGAGATAATCAAAACTAACTAATAAAAAGAAATAAAAGACTAAAGTATATATAAGGAAAAATCCTTTAAACCACTCTGTCCGCTTCGAAATTTACTCACCAAGACGCTATAGACGCGGAGATAGAGGCGGCGGTTTCTTTTGCTTCAAAAGGAAGCAAAAACAGCTGGGAGGCGGAGATCAACAGGAGCTCCAAGGGAACACTCCTTCCACCCCCTCTAGGAATAAATCCAGAGAGGGTTCAGGGGTTCTACCTCTACTCCTGGATTCTCTAACCCTTCCCTTTGCCCGGGAAGGGAATTTCGAACCGCGGGCCAGCTGATACGCGCTGTGCTCCGCGATTCTGACACCTTCCCAGCTGGACGGCTACTAAGTAGCCGTCATCGCCGTCGCCCCGTACCGGAAGCTATCATCTATTGTTTCTTGTCATACCTTTAGGTGCTTTGAAAAATAGGTTAACCCCTTCTTTCTTGTGGCTGTCTCTCAAATATTGGAACATTCTATCATATCACACCTAGTCCTTCTTTTCTTTAAGTCTAGACAGAACCAATTTTTGCAACCATTCTTTGTATGTTTCAGCTTCCAGGCATATAATCATCTTCATTGCTCTTTTCTGCACTCTTTCCAGAGCCTCTCAATATCTTTTTTATAATATGGTGACCAAAGCTGGATGCGGTATTCTAAATATGGTCTTACTAAGGCTTTATAAACAGTACTTCATGTGATCTTGATTCTATCCCTCTGTTAATGCAGCCTAGGATTGCATTGGCTCTTTTGGCTGCTGCTGCACACTGCTGGCTCATATTTAAGTGATTGTGAACTAGGACTCCAAGATCCCTCTCACATTCTGCTATTCAGTGGAATGTTACTGGACTGGAAATGTTTTAGTTGGTTTATATCCTGAAATTTCACTACCTTCTATTCTGTCATTCTTTTACCTGTTCTTGTTTGAATGATGATGTAAGATAATAGATAAAGCATATTATAGACATTATGGAAATTAACAGAACTCTGATATTCTTATATATTAGCTATTTGATGTAAGAGATATCAAATCATAGACTAGCTGATTACATTTCCAAATCAATCTGCTTTACAGACTTACTCTAAAGATAAAATTGTATGGTAAAGGAAAATACTTCTGTGGTATTTTGAATTAACTGAAAGAAAATAGTAAAATATAAATATTAAATAATTTTGCAGTGCTAATAAATTATTTAATATACAATAGTTAATCATTGTTTCAATCATTTTTTTCTCCTTATAACTCCAGCAAAGTATTCCAGAATCAGGATTAGTATCATTTTACATCCAATATCATTAAAAAGAGACTTGAAAAGAGGTATCACTATCAAAATGTACAGTAATAGAATATTTTGCTGTTCTAAATGGAACTAAGAAAATCAATCAAAAGGGCCTGGAATTGGCCATTTTCTATTGAATGCAATGTTAATGACTGGAATCCAGAATACAGAGTTAGGTGTATCCAAGAAATTGTGCTATGAATACAGTGACCATATATTCTTTATTATGAAAGATAGTCATTTATTTTAGAAGGCTGCTTTTAGAGTTATTTATTTTTCAAAAACTCACTTTTATCTTTTATCTTGGTCACTTTTACTGTATAAATAAGTATGGCTTAATGCAGTCTTTCAAATTTATGTGAAAAATATGGAAATTGAATAATCTTTTAAAAATAAATCTACTTATACTGTTTGATTTTAGACATTTTTATTATAATATGCTTTTCAAAAGTTTTTTCTTGGTTTTGTTCTTCAATTTTCCTTTGTAAATATTTTATTTTTATGAACCTTTTTCAGATAAACCTATTTTTGGGTTTATTCTTTCTCCCCCCCAATAAAATGTATAGGTAATCCTTGACTTAGGACCAATGAAGCCCAAAATTTCTGTGGCTAAGAAGGCAGTTGTTAAGTGTATTCTAGCCCATTTTATGACCTTTTTGCAAAGTTGTTAAGCAAATTATTGCAGTTAACTGAATCATGCTTCCCACATTGACTTTGCTTGTCAGAGGGCAGTTGGAAAGGTTACAAATGATGTCCCCAGGACAGTGCAACTGTCATAAATACATGCCAGTTGCCAAGCACTCAAATTTTGATCATGTGACCATGCAGATGGTCACATGATTGTAAGTGGGAAAACTGGTCTTAAGTCACTTTTTTCAGTGTCATTGTAGCTTCCAACAATCACTAAATCAATGGTTCTCAACCTTTTTAATGCCGTGACCCCCAACTGGTCGTAAGTCAAGGACTACTCAACCGGTCGTAAGTCAGGACTACTCAACTGGTGCAGCACCGTTTGCAGAATGGGACTTTTGGTGGGCTCAGCAGGGCAGAGACAGCCTGGACAATTCCTATTGGCTTTTGAAAGCCAATAGAATTAGACTCTATTCAAGAGAGTCTATTCTATTGGCTTTCAAAAGCCAATAGAATAAAAGGGAGTAGCACAGCTAAGGAAAAGGGGGGAAAAATGGCACTGCATTGTTTGGTAACCCCCGTGAAATGGTTGTTCGACCGCAAATGGGGTCCCAACCCACAGGTTGAGAACCACTACACTAAATGAATGGTTGTAAGTCAAGAAATTCCTGTAGTCTCCATAGCTATACAATACAAAGTGTTTTTCTCTTTAAATATAATTTCCCAGATAGTATCACAACATTTTTGGAAATATTTTCACTTGGTAAACTGTGTTGGCTTAATAGCAAAAGTATGCTACACTTTGGCTGTATGAGTGAGTCAATTCCTACTGTCAGGATTTATAAAATTTGACAAGCTTTTTAAACTTAATTAATAATGTTGTTATAGGAAATTATTTACATTATATGTAAATGATTAATGCATTAAGTTATCCTATTACTACTTCCAAATTACTCTTTTAAATTAGAGATAAGGCACTGAATTTCTCAACCCAATCTGGCTCTGAGTTGTTGACATTTTTTTTTTATTATTCTTTATTCTTATTGCACCTTTTTTACATATACATGATATTTTAGACTATAAACAGGGAAGGGGGGTGGAGATAATATATTTTTTCACTAAACAACAGGCTTCATAACTGAATATAATAATCATATAATTATTTAACATTTTGTCCTTTCAGAAAAATTGTACAACTCAAATGGACGTGAGTTAAGGCGGGCCCTTTTCTCCTTGAAACAGATATTTCAAGTAAGTGAACATTACCTCTTAATATAAATTTTGTTTTTTCAGAAACTAATGTATTTCATTATTATTGCTGGGGGAGAGGAGTTATTATTTTGCCACACAGTTAATAGAGAAAATTTCTAGGCGTAATATTTTTATTTGCTTTTTTATTATTTATTATTATTGCTTCTTAATGTCTTTCTCCAACCACACTGAGGATAATTCACAGAATGTTTCAAAGAAGCTTTTAAGTAATTCCTGAGGAAGCAGGGGCATCTGCAGAAGAGCCAGATGAGCAATCAATATGACAGCCACAACTAGGCAGTTAAAACCTATCCCATTTTACACAAGTCACGTGCAAGAAAAGGATAGAATTTCATCGTGCGATTGTAGCACTATCTTAATTTTTTTGACCCAGCTTCAACAAGGAAAATAAATTCAGTGAAAAAACCTCCATATATTCTTAACATAAATAGGAAACTTCTTAATTTTATTTAGTATATAGTGTGTCAATGCTGCAAATACTGTATATTCTTGCTTTGACAATATGTAAAACTGTCTGGCATTTATTGGGTTAATACTTAGCTTAGACTGGGTGGGGGGAAAAGCCCGGGAAAGAAAGAGGAAGCAAACTTTTGACCTTCTCACTAATTGGATAATGTGACCTGTGACTGCATGAGAAGGGAGGGGTTTAGCAAGGAAAGCTTGATGCCAGCGAAAGGAAGTTCAGATTCTGGCATCAACCAGTCCATCATGGTGACCGGCAAAACTGTAGCTCTGCAATAAAGATTTTAGGAAACATGCCTGAAAGTTCTTTGAAGTGCTTCATTAGTCGGAACATGTGACATCATGCCAGAATCCAACACTCTTTTCAAACGATCTGCGTCCCGATCTCCAACAGCTGCCTCTATGCCTGAGAGGAGCTGGCAAAGTTTCGGGGGAGATCTCATTATAGAGAAAGAAAGATTGCCTGAAACCAGCCCCGTAGCTGCAACAGTTTCCCCGGGGGGGAAAGCGACAGCCAGCAAGCCGGGGGAGAGAGAAATTTGGCAGATTTCCCAGCTGAGAGCGAAGACTTCAAAAGCAGAATGGACAGATAACACTTAACATATGCTTTTGTTTACTTTACAGGATCTGTCCTTCTTGTAAGGGGGGGCGGATGTCAATGCTGCAAATACTGTATATTCTTGCTTTGACAATATGCAAAACTGTCTGGCATTTATTGGGTTAATACTTAGCTTAGACTGGGCGGGGGGAAAAGCCCGGGAAAGAAAGAGGAAGCAAATTTTTGACCTTCTCACTAATTGGATAATGTGACCTGTGACTGCATGAGAAGGGAGGGGTTTAGCAAGGAAAGCTTGATGCCAGCGAAAGGAAGTTCAGATTCTGGCATCAACCAGTCCATCATGGCGACCGGCAAAACTGTAGCTCTGCAATAAAGATTTTAGGAAACATGCCTGAAAGTTCTTTGAAGTGCTTCATTAGTTGGAACATGTGACATAGTGTGGAAATGTGGGGAAAGTATGAAAGGACTAATGAGTAGGGATTTACAAATTGTGAGATTTCTTTATTGTGTCAGAAAATAAAAATCAGAATCAACACAATTTTTAAATAAATAAATAATGTTTCTGTTACTTTACAGTGCCACTGTGTTGTAAAGTTACTACTTTCATGCACAAAAGCAGATGGATCATTTGGAATTTATTATGGATTTCTATGCAATGTTGTTGAATCCTAAGGTCTTCTTTATGCCATGACACGTTGTGTGTAAAACTCAAAAAATGATAATAATCATAAGCCCATTCACATAATGCATGCATATGTCCAAAGTATTTTTTATTTTTATACATAATATGAGCAAAACCAAAGTCATAAGAATTACAAAACTATACACTTGAAAAGGTTCCATTAGGCCATTGAATCTGAGTTTCCATTCCATACCAGATAGATGGCTGTCTGGCCTCTATTTGGACATCTCTGGAGTGCATGTCTTTGACTAATTAGGTTCACCCAGAATTTTTTCTTAAAGATAGAGAAGATTTTATTTTATTGTTTCATAACATTTGATTATATTCTGTCTTGTTCTAAGCTAATTCCATTGTTCTGGATCTTGCTTTTTGGAATAAAAGAGAAAGTGTCTTGACATTCTTGGGGTACTAGAAAATATTATCATTTCTTCTCTCAGTCATCTCTTCAAGGCCCTACTCTTTCAATCTCTCTTCACAGCACTTTATTTCCTTTATCATCTTGATACTCTTTATTGCCCTTTTCTGTGAATCTCTCTTAAAATATAATAATTGCAAGGAATAATATGTTTTGGTACCTTGAATGCATTGAAAGAATGGGAAACTATTTCTCTGGGTATTTGCTCCCATGGCTGAATTGCTCATTATGATTGGAAGTTGCTTTCTAATATTCCATCATTCCATTCTTCCTATTACTTAAACACATTATTCTGTGTACTCCACTGAAGAGCAACAAGTCTTGGCTTTTTTCAGATAATTGAAAAGTGCCATATTCCCTCTTTTTTTTTTTTCCCTTAAAAGTTAAATATACTCAGCTCCTTCAGTCTTCTGCATAGGATTTCATTCAAATCATCCTCATTGGATTTCATTCAAATCATCCTCACTGGTTGTATTTCATTGAATCCTCCTTAAAATGTGGTGCCTAAAACTGGTACAATGCCCAAACTGGAAATGAACCTAGGAATAACAAAAGAAAAGTATTTTTTTCCAGTTATATAGAATGGAATGGAATCAAATTGAATTGAAGCATAGACCTGGAAGGAACCTCCAAGGTCTTCTAGTTCAACCCCCAGTCCAAGGCAGAAGACCTTATATCATCCTGGACAAATAGTTGTCAGTTGATATAGCCTATATTTGCATTTTGTTTCTTTTGCTGCTACCATAAATTACTAATTCATAGGTATGTCATCAACACCATTACTAAGAAAGGTATCCCAATATATACCTGATAATTTTCAGCCATTTCTTTAACCTAGAGCATTTTATATTTTAAGTCTGTCGTCCAGATCATAAGCTATCCTATCTAAAGTTATGTCTTCTGAAAGATTGATTAACATTCTTACACCTTTTCATCTTACTCATAAATATGTTATACATATTTATACGCATGCATACACACATACATATGTACACACACATATAAAGGAATTTTGTGATATTCCATCTAATTTGCCTTTCAAGTTTGATAGGCTATAATTGATCATCACTCTTTAAGCATCGTTTTAAAGCTAACTGTGCAGTCCACTCATTGTTAAATGCTACCCAGTATATACTTAAATTATTTATTTCTATTTTTATTTATTAGATTTTTATGCTGCCCGTCTCCCCTAAAAACATATGTCTTTATTCACTTGCTAATCAAAATATTCTTTTTATTTGAAATGTTCTTTTGAATGCTTTGTTGAACTGATGAATCACACAAAAATCAAGAAACCATATAAAGTTAATTGACAAGAATTCTTCCTGGCAGATCCATGCTGACCTGGTAATAATCAAATTGCTTTCAAGTTGATTACAGATCAATCTCCTTATTATCTGCTCTACAATAACCTCAGATACCAATGAAAGCTTGAGTCTTCTGTGGTTCTTCAGATCTTCCACTTTCCATTGTTTGAAGAAAGAAACCATATTTGCTCTATAGTCATCTGGCACTTTAGGAGTTCTCCAGGATTTCTGAAAAGTAATATATAAAATTTGACCCAGACAATCAAGTGGATCCATTCAATGCTCTAAGATGCAATCCATCTGACTCTGGAAATATAAACTTATTTCAAATAAACAGTTACTATCTAATCATATTTGTATTAAATTGAACTCCCATGTCTTCATCCTGCTAATCGCAGTTTTTAGGGATATTAATAAGAAAAATATATAAGAGAAAGAGTTTAGCAGCTCTGCCTTTGGTTTATTACTATTAGCATTTTGTTATCTTCACTGAATAAACTGATCATTGAAATAATTTTATTTTTGTTTTCATTTATTAGGACTACAAGACCAGCAACAACCAGATAATACATATTTATTCCTTAAAGATTTTTTTTTTAAAAAAAGGGATTAAAAATTAAGGAGTAAAATTATTTTTATGTAATGGTAACATAATGTGTCTGAACATAGAATCATAGGGCTGGAAAGGACTTTAAAACTGAATTCTCAGCTGTTTGGAGTAGCTTCTCTTTGCTACCCTGATCTTCCTTGTTAATACATGCATACATACATTCATACATACGTATGTGTATATATGTGTATGTATGTATATTTGTGTGTATGTATATATATGTGTGTGTGTATGTGTATATATGTATGTATGTATGTGTGTATATATATATATTGTTTTCTGAGGTTTTCGCAGGTGTTTGTACAGTATGTATGTCTTTGGTTATTTGGGTTTTCTCCCGCGTAAAATTGGAAGTGTCTTGGCGATGTTTCGATGAAGTCCCATTCGTCATCTTCAGGCTGGTGTTTTTGGCTTTGTGCTTCTAGGAGCAATGTGTGATCGTAGCTGTTTCTTCCTTTTAACTGCCAGTGGGGGTATGAACTGATTGGGTGTTCCCACATTCCGACATCCATTCCTGTTGGATTTTCCTTCCCAGGTTTTTCTCCCCCCCCCTAGTCTGCCGTCCTGCATATTGTTCATGCCTGCCCTCCTCCATTCCTGTCAGTCTTTCCTTCTCTTGTTTCTCCCCCCCCCCTCCAATCCACTGCTCTGCATACTGTTCCTGACTTTCATCCTCCATTCTTATCAGTCTTCCCCTCTCAGATGTCCTTCCTCCCCCCATGGGTATGCCCCCATTCCTACGTGCCTCATCTTTTTTTCTTTTTTCCCTCCCCTTCCCTTTTGATCAGTCGGGCATTCCTCTCCCCCGTGTTCTGGGTCGTACAGTCAGATCTGATACTCCCAAGACCCTTCCCTGGTCCCCTCCTCCTCCTCATTATACCCACCTCCTCCCTCCTTGGTACCCTTACTTGTCTGTGACTCTAATGCTTCCTCATCCGTCCCTA